TTACTAGCTACATTCAAACAGGAGGGTACTTTTGAAATGATTTGATTTAATTTAACTTCAGTCTCGGGAACGATTATATGATCAGCAGTAATAGAGGATGGTTTATTTGGCTGAATGGGCTGAAACAGCAACATTAAGAAGACATGTGCTGGAGCAGGAAATGAATGAGTAAAGAAATAATGCAACATACTCATGCACGGAATGATGTAACCAACACAACACAGCAAAAAAGTGTGCATCATGCATCTGCTTGGGGATAAGTAGTGTTCCATTTCCTTCCAGGTCCTGCTTGATGAAGTCAAGACGTTGCTCAATATTTGCAGATTGTTTGTGTTGCTCCTGGAGCTGAGAATTACAGCATGTTTCGTGGAGAATTCTCATATTTTTAACAAGACAACAGAGATTAAAACAGCCATTTTGCAGCTTTCCAATGACACAAACCCTCCTCTTTTCAGCTGTGAGGGTTCACTTTTACCTCATTAAAATCTCACTTTCCAACACGGTGTGTCATTTTGGGTCAGCTCAAGCCAGGTTGACGTACAGAGAGTCTTTGGGTTTGCCAGATCTATCTCGATATAGTTCTTACTGAGTCCCCCCCCCCCCTTTCCATGTTGTCACATGTGAGTCCACCGTTCATGCCTGCAAACCTCTCCCCCGAGGAGGTTGGAGCTGATCCAATCAGGTTTCTAACCATGTAGCTGTCTCATTTGTATTGTTAACGTTATTCAGTATGGTGACAAAATACAAAATCACTTTGCATCTCTAAAGAGTTAATATCTCCCTCTAAAATCTTTATAACTTTCAAGCGAGGAGGAGGGGGGCCTATGAATGACAAAGAGTTTAGTCAGGACAACAAACTCATACAGTAGAGATCGCAGTATCATCTCCTGTCTCCTGGAAAGTGGCAGCGGACGTTAAGAAGGAAAGGTTTAGAGGGAATCACACTCTGAAAATAAAGTGTTTTTCGGAGCAGTGAGACACGACTCCCCAGCGTCCTGTGTCCGATAGTATCCATTTTATTAGGCCACGTTAAAACCTCACTTCTTCTGTCAAGGCATTCACTGTTAGTGACTCTGGGTAAATATTTACTCTGAGGAGTTGGACAGAAAATGGAGCCCGGATGAGAGCTTATGCAGCCATCAAAACACAGTGTGAGAGACTTCAGAGAGGAAACGTCTGCTTCAGGCTGCTGTCTTTTTTGTGTGAGGCAGCTTCTTCTCAAATTCCACCTTATCCTCTCCTGAACCTCTCACAGAACTTGTAACTTCTGTTGTTCCACTTTTCTTGCGCTGGCGCACACACACGGATACCTTGCCAAACCTCCCTTTGTCTTCATTGCGGGATCTTTTTTCCTCCATCCCACTCAGTCTGATGCGGCTGCCCACCATCCATCCCTCCTGTGTCCTAACCACTCGCACTTTGTGGCCTTGCTCGTTCCCTTTGCCCTTTCACCACCCCCCCCCCCCCCACTGCTGTGTGCAGATTTTCTAAAAACAGTGCTCTCTTTCAGTAGTACTTAGCTACGTCACTTCCTCTACCACCCTGCGCTTATGAACACACCACACACCCAAACACGCACACACACACATTCACCTTTTGCCCTTCTCATTTCCTCTGTGCCTCTTCTGGTTCCCCATCGCTGTAACGCAACAGTAAAAACACACACATAACCATAGCCAATCACACTTGTGATGGGCCTCAGGCACGCCGTGTTATGACAAACACACCTAATAGATAATAGGATGTGTCACACTCAGTCTGGCTCACTCCCTAAATCACTCACACACATATTGAGTACATACAAGCCTGGGCGAAGTCCCGCATTCACCACTCGAAACCTATTTTGAAGACATATAAAACCTAGAGTCGACTGCGGGAGCAAACAAGGCTAAAGCAGAGGTTAATGTTGGGTAAATATGTAACCCAATGAGTCAGGCTCAGCCATCACAGGACTGCTATTAGAGCTGTTGGCACACAAAGAACATGTATCCTGCCAGCTCCTAAATGTGCTTTTAACATGCGGGACGGCCAAACAGAGGAGGTCTCAGACAGATCGAAAGAGAGAGAGAGAGAGCAAGGATGAAAGACATCAAGAAGGGCTGGCAAATTATCTACTGAGAAAAAAAAGTCAAGGGCGTACAAGTGCCAACCTGGCTCCAACTTCAAGTGTCTGCTTCCACTTGATTGCAGCAAGACGTGGATGAGCTGTGTGAGGAGCAAAAGTGTGTTCATGTGTAGGTGTGTGTGCGGTACTTGTTAAACCCCGTCTTATCATCTCCTCCTTCGCTCTCACTTCAGATAGAGCCGCAGCAGCCCAGCCCACTGGAATAAATAACCCACTCACATGTCACTCTTGGTATTTTTGTCTCCCTGATTTAAGCCGCACGCCTCTTTCTGTTCAGTGAACTTATCTGTGGCTCCAACGCAGGTAAGTGTAGTTTTCATCCGAGGAAATAACTTAAATGACTGTTTGATCATGATGTGGAATGTGAATAAAACATGGGCTAAAGCCTTTACCGAAAGACTGTCCAGTCGGAGCGGAATGCAGCGAATGCTCCACTTCTCGGACTAATAATAGGTGTTCTTCCAGTGCAAGAATTTGGGGTCGGGGTGAGGCCTTAAGAAAGATTTACAGAAACAAATCTATTTTAGAGCAGAATCAATAGATCCCACGAGGTGACGAACCCATGTTTGTAGAAGCTTTGATTGTGCCATCACGAAATGAGACAAAAAAAGTGTTGGGACACAAAAGGATTTTTTGTAGAATAGGTTTTCAAACCCACAGCACAAGTCCCAACACAGCCTATAAAACCACTGCAGTCCTGAATGAGAAATCAAACCTATGAACAAATGAATCAGCAGCCAAACTCGGCCAAGTAAAAGTGGTAGTTTGGTCCCTCCAACAGCCATGTAATTGTTACTCAACATCGTGACATTATTATGTCTCAACAAATACAATCCCCAAAAGGTTGGGGAATTGTGTGATGTGTAAATAAAACAGAATGGAACGATTTACAACTCTTATAAATGAATATTTTGTTCGCAACCAAACAAAGAAAAACCTTCATCATGAAAGTAAAATATACCATTTCATGAAAATGTTTAGTTTATCTTCACTTCAGCAACAGTTACATGTCTCAGGGGCAACAAAAGGCTGGAAAAGTAAGAGGCACTAAAAAGAAACAGCTGGAGGAACATGTTCCAACCAGTTAAGTTAATTGACAAGAGGTCTGTAATATGATAGACTGTTAAAAAAAAGACCAGCCGAGACTCTTAGAAGATGAGCAGATTCTCAACAATCTGCAACAATCTGCGCTCCAAAATAGGACCCATTTGACAGTAATGTAGCTAAACTTCAAGTTGCATAAAATCTTTAAGATTCCATAATATGAACTTCTGAAGACGTGCCTATGTGCCAAACGCCTACACAGCATTTCTTCCATAAATTGTAGAATAAATAGCAAAAAATGTTAACACAGTTTATACACGACATAACTTTAGTTAACATTACTTAAGGTGATTCAAACTCCTTAAGGGGCAGAGTTTGAGATCCCGGCATTAGCTAAACATTACTTTCCACCTCTGATGGTTACTGGATGTTGAAGTTTTTTAGGTTTTCTGTTTGTACTGGGGATATTTGACAGAATATCCTTGTTCACATTCATGCTCAACTAGATTGAAACTTGGCAAGAATTTTAAAATGATTGTCCAAAGCTCAACCAATCAGAAATTATTGGACAGTGACAAATGTTGTAGACAACCGCAAGAAGGAAATTGGGAGCTCCTTAGGATCACGCCCTTAAGTTTATTATTAGGCTCTTACCACAAAAAACTGGTGAATCCTATTAAATCTTCCATGTCAGACTAAGCTCACAGAATTTTTTAAATTGCTCATAATGTCTTTAAAATGGATGCTTAAAACAAGAACAGAATATAGCACATGTTTTCTTAGTATTTTCCTATTTTCTAATCAAGTAATTTCATTTTTTTTAAATTCACAGAAACCCAGCCACTGGCACTTTCTCCTAAAATACAATGTCACTTTTTCCAGGGATAAAGATTTGAAAGATGTTTGAAAGACAATGACTGAGGGCTGTTTGGAAGCCTGCTGGTGTTTTAAAGCAGACACAGCGAAAAGTGGAAAATCAGCAATAAAAGAGCTGGACTGATGACAGGAAGAGAAGTAAAAGTTGAAATGTGTCCATGGGATTCACTTTCTGCTCTGAAAGTCATAACAGAAACAAATACCAAATAAAAAGCATCCCAGCAAAGCACCCGGTCATTAATGGTACACCTGTGAAACTTGAAATTGATTCCTATGAACTCCACATTTTCATCTCAGTGCATCCGGACTCGCAGGCAGTGGGGCTTCAGGTCCTTACATGCGGACTGTGTTTGAGTTGTCCCTTCTATCACACCCGGCCTGTGGCAGCGCCAACAGGCTCTTAGCTCCTGATAAAGCTCTCCCTGTGCTGCGTGAAGACGTATGGAGCAGGTCGCAACCCCAATCATCGCTGCAGCCCACCGGCCAGTCACATTGCATTACACACACAGCCCCACGCGCCCCCACACACACAAGGGTCCCGCTTCCTAATCCCAGTATATACGCAGTCACTCGGAAGGATACAGTACTGCTCAGGTATGTGAATAACTTCATAGCAGAGGTGTGTGGTCTGGTATTGACCCCTGCGCACACACGCGCCTGAGGCACCGGCAGGCAGTTTCCGTGCGAATGCTCATGGACAACCAGCCACTGTTGGAGCCGGGGGAACGCTCTACCTATCATATCCACGCTGCTGACCTCCCGCTCCTCCGTTTACAGCTGCCTAACTCCTGCTTTCAACACCTACGCATACACATAAATCAAGCAACGGCGCGGGTCAGACAGGTCAGAGCTGAGCTCGGAACAGAGAATAAGACAATTAAAACAGTTCGGCGGAGGTTAATGAATCGCGTCGTTTGCTTTATAGGCTTTTAATGGGAAATCTGGAAAGTCTTACCTGTGAGAAGCACCTGCGGTACTCCTTCTCAGGCCCTGAGCATCTGTACGCCTGAGGAGATTCTCCGGCTGAGGGCCCGCCGGCCTGGGCGCCCAGGTGTGAGGCGTGCGGGTGCTGTAGGGGGTAGACGCCGCCTGCCGCGGGAGTTTGGGGGCTGAAGCCCGGCTGGAGCTCGCCGTTCCTGTGCGCGGAGCTGGGGCGGTGGAGAGGGGAGGAAAAAAGGCCTCCAGAGGAGAGTGGCTGCGATAGAGGAGCTGTGGGAGGAGGCGGGGCAGTGACGGAGCTCCAGTCAAACCGCTGGCGGCTACTGAAGACCGAGGGGAAATGGGGGCGCGCAAACTGGCGACGGAGAGGAGCTCTGCTCCTTCCAGGGTCCGTGTGGGGGTTCGGGGGTCTGTCCAAACGCCGGTGTGGGATGGCGGGGGTGAGGGTCGGTGCCGGTGCCTCCTCAGCAGCAGGTGCCTCCCTAACATCCTGCCTCCCTTTCCCATCCGTCCTGCTCACCTCCCCATCCTCTTTACCACTGTCCCTCTCTTGTTCTTCTTCCCCCGTTCCGCTCTTCATCGTGTCATCATCAGTGCTGTTAGCCGTGTGGCGAGTCTGCCGGTTGGGACGATGCAGAGGCAGAGAAAAGGGAACCTTGCCGTACCCAAACTGACCAGGACGAATGCTGGACGACCTGCGATTTTAAAAAAAACAGGGAAAAAGAGAAAAGCAAATGTTTGGAAGGAAAAATTTACAGTTGGATTAACAGAAAGCAGCATAGAGGCAGGATGATGAACTTATAAACAACATGGGGTTTGCAGATTGGGGTGAGAGTGCAGAGTGATACAGTGCCTGTACAGATGACATAAAACAGAAATAATGATGTAATAGCAGCAGATACCAGAGGCAGAGATGGGCCGAACTCCAACGCCCAATACTCAAACCATCATAACAAACCCTCTAATGCTTAAACAATGTCAACACTTTAACTAATGGCGCATGAATGACTCCTCTGTGGGCCTCTAAAAAGCCATTCCCAGAGAGCACTTCATCCCTGTATTTTGTGATGAAATACAAATCTTTTCTTTGTCCCTGAAGAATGTTGCAGCTACTGTTTATCCCAAACAAACCCCTGTTGCTACTGCCAGCTATGCAGATCTTACTTCCTTTTATGACAAATGCCTTTTCCTCCAAAAGGAGAACTCAAGGTGCTAACAATCGATCACGTAGAAGTTTCCGCTGACTAAGATCATTTTCAAAACATAAAACTTTTGGACACCAAGTGCTGATGGAACTATGTGTCAAACATAAACCTGATAATGTACAGGAGCTCATTAAATACTAGTCAGTGTGGTCATCAAGAATGAAACATAATAACTTTAAGTAGCTTAGCAGTAAAAACAAAGTATGTGCAGAAACAAGTCACTGACAGATTCAAGCTAAAACTAAATGTTCAAATATATTTGAATCAACAATAAGAAACTTATCTTTCACATCTGGAAGCCTCAGATATACCGTCTGAAGTGTGCATTTTGGTTCAAGGCACCAGGTCACAACTGATTTCCTATAAATGCATTTTTAAGGTTTTGTAGTGTGAACAGAAAAAACTGTGCTGGGTCTGGAATGAGCTTTCGTTTTCATCAGACACCAGAGAAATGTTGCCTTTCAGTCTGGTCTTTGATCACCAGGCAGATTAGTTTGCTTTCCAGTCGTCTGGGGACACTCACCTCCTGGCAAGCGGACCCTCCCGGCCGGTGGAGACCGAGCGTCTGCTCCCACCCCCTCCACCTCTCACTGCCTCGGGATTGGCCGGCCTCCTGATCCGTGCTGGCTGACCGTAGCCATTTGATGATGTGTAGGGAGATCGGTAAGCAGACACAGGGTCCTGATTGGCTGGGGAGAACTCTGGATGGTAAAAAGTCGGCGCGCGGTTGGTTTGTCCCGGGACAGGAGGCCCCTCACCTCCGCGGGGCGTATTTCGATACAAAGGCAGTCCAGCGTTATTGTTTCTGGAGACTGATGGGGAGCGATACGATGGGTGTTGCCCGGGGTAACGAGGAAGGTAGTAAGGGTTCGCAGGTGAGATAACTGGGCCCCTGACACCCCCAGGCAGATAACCCGCCCAGTTTGGTGGGGAGAGGGACAGGGGGGGATGTTGGAGAGGGGGAGGGGGTGAACACTTCCTGATCCTATGCGAAATGCCCACGCCACAGCTTTGAGAGCATTCGGACCACTCACCCCATGGAGACCACACCCCCGCCACAGGCTCTGCCTCATACACCTGTCTCGACCTTCGTCCTGCCACCTAAGACACAAAAACATCAGAACACACACACAAAACAGAAAACCATTTATTCAGATTTCACGTTTCATGTTTCAGACAACACATTGGTGCCCCTGGTTTGGGCGCCATTGAGCCAGAATGCATTTCTCCACTGGAAGAAATTAGTCTACAATTAGTGTTGAACATTTCAGAATGGGGATCCAATTGATGAGACTTTTATGATAATTCATCTTTATGCAAGGTAAACTGTGTTAAGCCTCAGTATTGATGAAAAGGGTCTATCAAGGACTTTTCCATTTGCCATGCCACTAACTGTAAGACATGAAGGATAAAAAAGTTACGACCCCCTGGTTTTTAAATTCAGCTGTTTTTTCTGAACTTTGCCATTTGTTGGGATTTTTTAGCTAAGAGATCTTCTTTCAGTTCATGACACAAAAAATCTGCAAAGACTGGCTAAGAAGAAAAACTCAGCATTGCAGCAGCTAAGAGTTTATTTGGATTTCCCTACAGTTCTGCTGTACTGCCTTCAGCCCAAACTCTGCAGTAAAAATAATGAAAACTGCAAGCCTTGGCAGCGATTTAAAGAAGTACTTAACCTAGTAAAAAGGTTGCAATTCCAAAATCCCAAATCTCTGCAGGGACCTATTTCTCCACTGTGCACTGATGAGTCGCAGTCTCGTGAGTTTCCTTTCTCTGAAGCCAAAATATAAATCCTGGAGTCCAGGTCCTTCGGTCGGGCTTAGGAGAGCCAGTCACCTGCCAGCAGCTTCCAGCAGCTGGATAAATGCACTGGAGCTGGTGTCATACGAGCACAGCGCAGCAACAACAAGATCACCGCTGACCAAACTGTGCATGCGTGTTTGTATATATAAGAATGTGTGACTGCTTGAATGTGGGAGCCAGTTGAGGCTTTGATGTGTTCCTCTGTGGTCACAGATAAATGTTTCTCCTCTCATTTCATAACTGAAGCATTGCCCTGGTTGGCAGAGCGGCAAACATGCGAGCTGAACAAAAGTTTCCATTGAGAAAGAACCAAAACATAAATCCGTGCTCCACTTCCCTCCCCTTCTCTTTGCAAGCTTGTAAACGTGCGTTAGAGTGTGTGTGTGTACACGCGTGGAAATGAACACGTTAACATCCAGGACAAAGTGTTTGTGGATGGGTGAGGGAGGACAGGTGGAGGCGGCACACTGGGGTTTTCAATAACGCCGCCGCATTAAATGAGTTCCAGTCTGAGGGGGTAGAACGGTAGGAAAGAGAGGGGGTGATGGAAGCATCGCTGTGGGTGTGTGTGTAGAGGGAAGGTGTGCTGCTCTGCGTAATGAGGGCCGCCTAACACACAGCTGCCCCGTAACAGGGGCCATTAATGAGCCGGGAGCAGTGACCCCGCAGCAGCCGTGCTGCTCCCCCAGAGCTACTGGTTCAGCTCCGGCCACACCGCACTACCAGGCCGGCATCTGTCAGGGGAGTCGCTACCAGCTCATGGGTCCCCTCGGAAAACATTTATGAGGAAAGGAACCCTAGTTGTACCGCTGTGGGACCTTTGAGGTCTGTTTTAATCACTTACATTGCAATAAAAGTAGTTGTGCCTTTAAACATTTTAAATAGATAAGATTCTAGAGAACATCAACTTTCTCCCTCAGAAGAATTAAATAAAATGAAAATAGGGTATGTGAGTGTACATACAACAGATACAACATTTAGCTGACACCGAGCAAAACTAACAGAAAGGAAAATGCAGGGGAGTTTCGCAGCCTCTAATAAAATCCATCAAGGTTTAGATATTTGAACATTTTTCAGATAAGCTTAAAGAGAATGTTGGGGGTCAGGCCCTGCGATGGTCCAGGGCGTAACCGCGATGGTCCAGCCCCCCCGCGACCCCATTTGGGAATAAGTGGTTCAGAAAATGGATGGATAGATGGATTGATATTGGGGGTCAAAAAAGGACTCTTTCCATTCTTGGGCGCCGGTTTATATCAACCTGAGCCCTTAGCAATAAATCTCCCCCTCGCATTCACTAAAAGGAGTCAAATGCTGCAAAGGGACTGTCCATCCAGGGTCGGCCAGCAAAAGAGCCTTTAGTCAGGCTCAATTTATGTTTCTATACATCTGGATGGCATTGTCTGCCATAGTCATTACAGTGCTAAAACACCTGTCGTCGTCTTATAACTCTTAATTCCAACGTGACAATAAAGTTTGCTGTTGGTGTGAAACATCTTGGTGCTTGATAAGCCTTTAGCCACTTCCACTGTTGCTCTAACTTAAACAACAAGCTCTCAGTAGTGCACATACTTTGCACGTTTGGAGGCCCTGCTTAAGCTGTCAGGAAGATTCACAGTCACAAAGATGAACAGACGATGATGGCATTCGGTGAAAAGTCAGAGTCTTCAGCTGCTCTTCCCAGACGGCTCATTTTTATTGTCACAATATGAGGATAAGACGCCAACATGAGCTCTGTCTGTCATCCAAAGAGTCAGAACTTTGGAGGATGGATATAACATTACAGCGGTGAAGCACCACCTCACAGGGAGACATTTTTACCCCCAGTCTTTCTTTTTGTGTGCATTTGGGCATCAGAGTGATGCTTTAAGACACACTTGGGAAAAATCTGAAAACCGTGGCTTGACTGCGGCCCCACCCTTCACCCCGCTTTTGTGACTTTGCTGTCCGTTGACCTAACTTGATATCCGATGACTCACCTTCTTCTTGGCAGCTTTGGCCATGGAGGTCGTGACCACCACAAAGCTCCACAGCACGCAGAGCCTGGCGGGACGAAGAGCAGAGAGGGAAAGAAGTGGCATGTATGCAGGTTTTAAAATAACAGCAAGCTGAAAAGGGTTATTTACAAACCACATGACTATTCCATGACCTCAACCAGAAATCGCTGCTAAATAATGTCCATAACGACAGAGGCCTCCTTTATTCTCTGTCAAGGCTCAACTTTCCTGACACAAGTATTGAGTCAACATCCCATCACGTGTTCAAATGGCCTAAGTGCCCCACAGAAACCAATTATGCCCATTTATTTCTCAATATAGGTGGCAGGTGGATTCATGAGCATGGGGGGGGGAAACCTTTTCATTGACCCTTTAGTTTGATTGTTAAACAAATCAATCAATCTGGGAAATCTTGGAAGGCATAAATGAAAGAAAAGTTTTAAACAGAAAGGTTTTCCCTCTATTTGCCTCTCCCTGTGACTGTACACACCCGGAGGATGTGTTTTTTTTTCTTTGCAAGGTCAACAATCTTACTCACAGTTACTATCTGAAATCAGAAAGCTGCTTTTTTGGAGTATGGTGTTCATGCATTATGTTCGGACTCAGTACAAAAAAGATCTTCGAAAATGTTATATTTCTATTAGTAAAAATGTCAACTAAGTTTGTCTGTAATCGTTACAAAATCCTCCATCACATCGAGACAAGTGCATTGGAAACAAGTGGAATGTCTCAACTCTCTCAACTTGCCAAGAAACTGGCCTGAACATGATACCAAAAGACTCGCTGAGATGGACATTGCAGGGCTGACCGCGAGAACCAAACCATCACCGCAGTCACCAGTCCGCAAGCCACATGTAGGCAGAGTAATTGGTCCCTTCTCCTCAGTGTGGTGCACCGCCGCGGTCTCTGGAAGCCTCCCCACACCAGAGTACACAATTATCCCCGAAAAACACAGACAAAGGTCCCACACAGGCCGACACAACAGAGCCGCTCAGGCCGAAGTAACGACCCCCTACCCGGGTCCACGTTTCCGCGGCCGCTACTGTGGCACATTTCAGAACCAACTCTGCGCTGTGAATACGGGGAGAGGGCGAGGGAGACGTTTCCATCAGAGGAAAGCCTCACAAAAATCTACCCGTGGAGAAAGAGGGAACTCTTGCCTTAAAAAACAGACGCCTGTTGGCGAATTCCTGTGAGATGTCCCGCACAGCCCACTGTGCGCAACCGCAGCCATCGTGCGTAAAAACCAAAAACCTCCCAAGAAAAACGAAACACCTTTTAGAAATCCACACCACAGTCAACCAGGACACCCTGCGTGTCCACTCTAAGGAGGATGCAAACCCACATGTGGCGAAGCAGCATTTAGATAAGTCAAAGTTTTTACCTGAATAGTGAACTGAGCCGCATGTTCCAAAAGTCTCCCGCACGCTTCTCGCACAGATATTGATTATTAGTCCAGTTTAACGATCCGTTCCGGTGAACTGAGAGACATGCGATGAAGTTGTTCTACTCTCACTTTGCCTGTCCCCTTTCCTCCTGTCACAGTCACTCCCCGTGACTTCTGCGGCGTGGAAGAGAGATTTTCTCTTTCTCTTTCAGTCCCGTTCACTCAACTTTTGCGGGTCCTTATTTCAGACTGCTGTGACGACTGGCAGCCAGGGGGCCACGGGAGAGACAGAGAGAGAAAGAGGGGGGAGACAGGAGACACAAAATGGACAGATTACACAACTCTCTCGCGCGCTCCCTCTTACTTTCACACACACACACACACGCTCTCCGTCTCAAACACACTTACCCAAAGTGTGGGTCCTGACCAAGCGATAATAGCCCTCAGAGCCGCTTTCTAGTTGCACAATCCCACAAAATAATGCCTCTTTGTGCTAAGTCACACTGATCGGTGGTAAAAACCAACCAGGTTGTTAGATACTCAGTCCAACAGGGTTTGATTTGACATGAATGGTCTGATGCATGGCATATAGCTAGTGGGAAATATATATAGATATAGATATATATAAACGATACAAGCATGTCTGTTTTCTCTTAACTGTTTAATCACATTTCATGCAAGCAGCCATGCTCCACCAATTTGGAGAGTAGATAAGTGCACCCTTGAGACAATTCACTTCTGAGCCTGATTCTAAACTCTCTTTGGTTGTACACGTACGTGTTTGAGGGCTGTGAACTTTTCTCAGCTTTGGTATGAAGCAGATGGGGAAAAACAACTGCCCCATGCCAAGTTGTTTACACATTACACTGATTGTAATCCATGGACTTCCATAACAAAACATGCAGTTTAATCTAGCCACAGGGGACAGCTGGGGGCAAAGGGTGACGCAGAGGTGGAGATGAAAAAAAAAAAACATCCCTCAGGACTTTAAAAGCTTCGGTTGAATTCACAGGATCCTGATGTATACCAGAGGGACTTCTTCTAACCTTATCCTGACTAAAAATGAACAAACAACCAAAAAAGAAGAGATCCACTTTAAAAAGAATCAGAGTAATCTAGTGCATCAAAATGATCTATAGTTGCACAAATAAGGGCTGGATTTTGTCTATTGAAACGCAGAGATTGAATTAAGTCATAAGGGAACTGATCACTGAGGCACAGAGCTGATTAAATAAGAACAATGGTTTCTGTAGAACCTCATCTTCAGATGGGGGAAAGACATACTACTTTCTCTTTCTTTAGATTGTTCCAATTCTTTAACAATACACGTAAAAGCCGTTTTGGAGTTTGGACTGGGCCATTTTCTGGCAATATTTCACTGCATTTGGCATTATGTGTGCATGTGTGTGTCTCTGGTGGCCACATGACCTGTCCTCTCACCCAATCACAGCCCCCTCCCCGTGCCCCTTACGTGGAAAAAGCGGGTATACAAAATGGATGGATGTTTGCACTCCAGGGCACATTATTTTCAATATATTTGCTGCACTTCACATCTGGTTTACATTACTCTTCTCAGTCTTTTAAGTCCCTTGAGGGATGGGCATAGTTGCATGACACATTAATAAAAAACATCAACCTTACTACAATGAAAACAGACAGGAGGGAGACTTGAGATGATGTACACAGCAAAGACGGGAGCAGAGGGGCTTTTCTAACATCAGACTCAAGGCAGCAGATGAGAGGACAGCAAAAGAGAGCAGAAAAACGAATGGAGGAAGAAACAAAATAGAAGGGCCCATCCACCCACAAATAACTGGGTTACTTGCCAATAACAGGATTTTTGTATACAGTGAGCGTCAAGCAGAATAAAGAGTCTTTAAAGAAGTATTTTATGAAAGGTTGCCACAAATAATCTCTTCTCAACATACACCTGAAGACAATTTGAAGGTGTCATTGACTGCAGTATTTGATTGTTGGGAATGCTTGGAGATTGGAAAAAGGACTGAATTGTTGTGGTCTCAGTCTGTCAGCCGCACCGTGTGAGGAGCAGAAAAGACTCCCCTCTGAAGAGCATTGATGGGGATCACAGTTGGCACAGCATCAGTAAATGCAAGTTAAAAATGTCCTGTCAGATGATTACATTAAAATTAGAAGTTCTACTTGGAAGACATGGACACCCGGAGGTCAACTCCAGGGAAAATATGAGTGTGCGTTAGCGCACAGATGATAATGTTTCATTCGAGAAGGCCCCGTCAAAGCTGGACGGCATCTGATCCCCGCTGTGTTTTTCAGCCGGGCTTATGTCCCGCACCACGATGGCCAACCCCCCTCTGTATGTACTCCGGTGGCTCTGTGGGAAAAGGGACGGGGTTCCGAACTGGTCCGCCCGCGGTCCAGATGTGTCACAGATGACGACATTTGACACCCCGAACTGTCCTGTTCTCACCAGCGTTTCCCGGCCTGCAGCGGGGAGGCGACGTGATGGAAACCTTATTGAGAGCGGCGAGGGGGAAAGAGGGCGTGTTCCCGGGGACTTATGGTTGAGCGCATACTAACACACCCTGGTCCTTGTGATGTCCCAGAGCCAGCGGGCTGCTTTTCTTGGACAGGCATCCTACAATTTGCCCACACAGAGATGGTGACAGAGATTAGGGACTTCAAAGCCAACAAGTGAAGACAAAACCACATTACAAGGGAGGCTTAAGATTTGGTCAAGGATAAAAAAAAATAAGTAGCTGATGTAAAAGGCGTAGCAAGAATGATGATGGCAGATTCCAGAGGGTAAATATGCACACATGTGCAGCGTGTGTTTTGGTGTGTGTTTGTGTGTGATTAGTGTAATGGATATCTCTTCAAGCACCATGTCTATCAGTGACTGCAATTAGCCAGAGGTCATTGCCATGACCACCAGTGGTCCATGACCACTCAGAAACCTTTCCTCCCTCCCAGTTTACCCCCTTTCTTTCTTCTTTAAGATCCCCCCCCCGGGTGCCTGTATAGAAATAACTTATGCGTTGTCTTGTGGACACACACCACCAACCACAGGACTCTGATTAGCAACGTGTCTCTCTCAACAAGTCAACAAAACACAGAGATGCTGTGTTTTTGTGCGCGCGATGGGGGAGGTCTATATGTAGCAACAGATTAGTTATTTCTCGGCCGGTTGATCCGAGTAATAGCACTTAAGATCAGAGTGGTGGTGCCCTGTGGGAGTAATAAATCACCGTAAAAGCCTCCTGCATGTATGCACACACCCCAGCCTCAGGCCCCGACGCAGCCGGCCTTTTTACTGTTAAAGTTAATGAGGCCTTGAGGCTTCGGAAGACCAGCTGAGGACTCAGGGTTAGACCTCTTAAAAGGCTGAAACGGGTCAAGAAAGTGTAGAGAGCAGGAGACGGGTCATTCCTACTACTGTTCACATAACGCTCATTCTAAACTCACAGAGAGGTGAGAGCTGAAACGTGCTTCAACAAGGATTTAAAACTGAACGGGAGGGGGGAATAGATGTCTCATGTCGGTTTGTAAATTTATCAGCTGGTCGGACCACAAGCAGTCAGAGCTGATATTTCACTCACTGATTGTTGTGGCATTGGTATGCATACACGCTGCAGAGAAAATGCGTCTTAGACTCTGTAAACATCATGACAGCTCTCCTTAACATCATTGCTGGGTAAAGGTTAGCACCTGGACTTTGCCTCTCCAAAAGATAATCTTTTAAAAGATTCTCTCGCTGAATATTTGCACGGATGCATTCTTAGAGTATGCATCCATGTTTCCCTTGAGAATACGTTTTCCCTTTGAATGTGCTTGTGTGCTCCAAATTGCCAAATGATGAAACACAGGCCTTTCCTGGATGCCCCCTGTTTCTTGTCCAGTGGATTTTGGGACATACTTCACTTGGTTAAAACAGGGGTGGAAAATTAATTAATGTTTTCCCGATGATGGAATCATAAACATTAAATAAAGAGTGTTTAGTTAGATGTTCCCCAGGGGTCCGTAATGAACACAAACTTCGTTCTAAGGCTGATCTTTGTTGGAAGGTTACAAATCCTTACCAAACTGATGGAATCGTCGTTCTCAGAGGATGTTCATTTTGATGTAGTTTGTTTGACAAATTTTATGAATAAACTGAAGGAAAATTCTTCCAAGTGGTGATTCCATAAAATTGAGGTTGAAATAAAGGTCTCGAGTTTCCTCCATTTGTGTACAAATGTGTGTAACTTATTCCATCTGGATGAGCATCAACAAGTCATTTTCTTGTTTATGCCATCATATAATTCCACAAACGCGTTTCTGAGATCAAACTTGAATGGAGCCTCGTTCTTTAATTTAAAAAACAGTCACAACTAGTGAGTTGAGCTGTCTTCTGTCACTTTAGGAGCTGTGTAAAAATACACAGCGGGTCCTTTTTCTGTAATTATTGGGCCAAAAGAATCTTTAAAAAACCTCCTAAGGGGTCGGTCCTTTTCCAAACATCAGTCTGCACACTTTGTGAGACAAATATTTTCAGAAATATTAGTCCAGCTTTGGTCTCATTTTGGAGCTGAAGCACATGTGAAAAAATATCATAGTATTGAGATAAAAAAAACACACACAAAGGCAGATCAAAGCCCAAAGGAGTGAAAGCAGAGAGCTATTTTTAAGCTTCACTTGAAAAATTCACTTTGGATTCCTCCCTGGTTCCCTCTGCCCTCTACAGCGGACGGCTGATGCACATATGAACATCAAATGAAGGGATGTTGGCACACACCATCTCGAATGCCTTTACACTTTGCCTGTGCATGTTTTCAGGGTCAAAGAGATGGAAAAAGTATGTTCCAGGCTCAAGGCAGCCACGTATGTCTGAACATACAGCGCACTCAGGTGAGAGATAGCCATGTGTGTGAAATACGAACTAGCTGGGGACAGAGCTCTGTGAGGGAAACCTGTGGGAGGAGGAGGGGGGGGGGGGGGCCGGGACCAAAAGCCCTGACAGCCACAGTGGTCTGGAGCAGAGGGAGAGAGAGTGACAGACAGGGAC